ACTAGATAAAGCTCTCTCTCTCTCTGAAATTTTCTTTTTTCATGTATCTTTTTTTTCTCACAATGAACTACATTTTAAAGTTCTGTTTCTCGTAGATTGTGAAAAAAAAACTATATAAATAGAATATATTAGAAATGTGTCTGCAAGTGTAATTATTTCTTTGTACGTGTATGTACATTTATAAATATAATTTCTTGATATTATGACAATTATCTGTCCGCTATGCCCTTAAAACACATTCAGAGTTCCGAGTTTAGTCACTTGAAGATGTAACTAGAGACATAATCCCTTGTTTGTTTGTTTTGAATTTCGCGCAAAGCTACACGAGGGCTATCTGCGCTAGCCGTCCCTAATTTAGCAGTGTAAGACTAGAGGGAAGACAGCTAGTCATCACCAACCACCGCCAACTCTTGGGCTACTCTTTTACCAACAAATAGTGGGATTAACCGTCACATTATATCGCCCCCACGGCTGAAAGAGCGACCATATTTGGTGGGATGGAGATTCGAACCCGCGACCCTCACCTTGCCGGGCCACCATAATTCCTTGAAGGTTTAATAAACTCTGTCTGACATTTTGTTTTAAACAGGGAATTTAAGCAAATTAAATCAGACAGAAAGCTTTCCAACTCGATCTGAGTGTACAGATATTAGTCTCGTCACCAGCAGGAACTCTGTATTACCTTTCATAAAGTGAAAAAAAAAACTATCTTTGATACTTCTGGTATATTTTACATTTTAGAACGATTTAAACATATTAGGGTAATATGACGTACCAAATTTCGGATATATTGTAAAGGCGAAAAGCCCCTAAGTTGACGAAAGGATCGGAAAGAACTTTAGGGGTAATCAATAATCTGTAATAAAACATTTATTAAGGGCTACGTAATACCAACTGTAAATGATCGACAACGTCTGACAGATGACACATTTTTTACGCAAATTCTGGAAAATAGTTCAAGAAAATATTTCATCTCAACGTAAAAAATGCAAAAACTATTTGTCAGCGGAGAAACAAAAAATATTATAACTGATGAAAGCCGTTGGAGCTATGCCTTTTTGGAAATAATGTGATAAAATATACTTAATGATCTTAAGTGTGGCAATCTTCATAATTTATCAAAATTATTATAAACTAGCTGGAGTACCCGTCCCCTGGACGAAAATTATGTAAACTCGTGATTAATTAAAGGTTATCTTAGGACATAAAAAGTTGCTTCCCTTATATGTAACTGCAGAAAAAAGCACGCATAAACTCCCATAAAAAGTGAAAAACACAAAACGTGAAACCGAAAATTGGCATGCCACCCCCCCCCCCCACCATGGACTAAACAAACCTTCATGCCAAATTTGATGAAGGTTCATCAACAGTGAGAAAAGTAGTGGTAAAAACGCCCACAAAAACCGCAAAATGCGAAACTGAAAATTACCATGTACCTCTCCTTGGACCAAATAAACCTCCATACCAAATTTAGTGAAGATCCATTTACAGGGGGCGAAGCAGTGGTAAAAAATGCCTAGAAAAACCGCAAATCGCAAAACTGAAAATTTGTATGTATCTCTGCATGGATTCAATGAACCTCCATGTCAATTTTGATGACGATCCATCTACACCCTATGAATTAGTTATATGTACGTACATCAGACAGTAACATGATATTTATATAGATATGCTTTTGTAATAGTAAGAAATTGCATTAATACTTTAAGGAGAGCCAGTGTTTTTAAGAAACTTATAATAAAAATCCTGAGTACATATATATATATATATATATATATA